GCAGCTGGGTGAAAAGCACTGTGTGGCATGCAACATGGCAGCAGTGGGGACAGCAACAGACGGGCAGACAGAAGGCACATATTGGGCTGCCGCCAGGTAGCTGCTGCGGCTTTTCGGGCAACGTTTTTAAATGACTTTTGCTCGTTTGCAACACAGGAATTGACAAATGACTAAATTTGTGTATGCCACATGCCGCACTCACGGCGCACCACCCTCCACCCTCCACCCCGATTCTTGACCGACCTGCTGCCTCGAAAGCTTGTCGTTTGTCCTAAAATTAACGAGAACGACTACAATTTGCAAGCTCCATGACCGGCCAATGAATTGTGTATCCGGGCTCACGTTTTGACAAATGTGAGCCACAAACCCCAACTCCGGCCCCCAGGCAGAGCCACTGTCACAGTCCCTGTCCCAGCTCCAGCCCCTGCCACGCCCCGACAATGTTTCATAATCAAATTCTGTTTGCCAGCCGCTGCGATTGCACAAAGTGACCCAGCCCACTTGTAAAGTGCACGATAATTGAAGATTTATTTGGCAAACGCATGCAGATTGAGGTCCACACAGACAGAAAAACAAAAAGACAGACAGGCAGGCATTGGCAAAATGACATTATAACTGTTAAAAGCCAAATGTTGGATTAAATGAGTTACATGAATTAAAAATTTAATAATAATTATATTTTCAGTTCAGGCTTGTGACTGGAATATCTACAGTAACTATTAAAGCTATTTATATATTTATGTAACTCTGCTGAGGATTGTCTATAATATACAAAAAAAAAATAAAATTATTGCATATTAATAAAATATAGCATAACCTTTTAAGAAAAAATAAATAAATAAAATAATTTTAATATATCTGTCAGCAAAATAGTTAAAATTAAATAAATATTTGTATTTTTTGATCACGAAAAATCGTATTTTCAGCAAACATCGTTTAAGATCCCGATGAAATTAGGTCACGCAAAATATCGCATGCAACAATGAAAAACTAACCAACACTACACAACAAAAGTTCAGTCATTTGTGAGAACGGAACTAGTTTAATCTAGTTCTGGATGATGCGACAAAATCTTCAATCGCAGCTGCGAAGGCAATTGGAAAAGGTCTACGAGTGAAAATCAAATTTAATTGACTCAAAATGGAGCAGCCTAACAATGGAAATTCGGATGGATCAGTGTCGTACTCATTTATAAGAGAAGTGGTGGGCATTAAGTTTATGTGGAACCAATTTTATTATCTCATGCTATTGGAGGATGGGTGCATCATATTCTACCCATCGCACGTGGCCAAAAAGATATGCCCCAAGCCAATCGCAGATTTCTATACGAATGTATGTAGCCTTGTGGATGATAATGTCATTATACCACCGAAGTTCCTTATAAGTAAGTATCCATCTAGACAATTAGAGTACATACGTACATATGTATGTGTGTACTAATCTGATTTATTTGTTTGTTTTCTAAGATTGAAGAACGAGAAGAACAAGAAAAGCGAATGACTGTAACTACACTGTGGAACAAGGAAGATGATGCTGAACAATGTTAAACAATATCTATTCCGAAATCATATACACTTTTATGTAATAAATATCCACAGACCAAGAGCAACGACATTTTACTTTAATACTATTAAATTTCAAGGCATTTTTAGAGACGAGCTCCGATCTGCGAGGCTAAAGAGGAAACTAAACAAACTTCAATAGAAACTAATAATAATTTATTGTGAGCGTAGCATAAAAGTGAATCCACTGCATTGAAGATCAATCAATGTCATTTTAATCAAGCCAAAAGTTTTTAGTAAATGTGAATGAGAGACGTTGACAAACAAAGTGAAAAACTATAATGAAAGCAACCCTAAAATTGGCGTCAACAAACTCATATATTACGCATAAGCACACACACACACACACACAC